TTACTTATAGCTTACATGGAGCTAAAAGCGAAATGAATATATTGTAACCAACGATTCTATAGAACAATTCTCAGTAAAGTTTTAACAGTTTGAATCACAAGTCGATTTAAGCTAGATTACCATTGAAGACTTGGAATCACTTGAAGGCCGTTTCGTTCTGGTATGAGACTGTAGCGTCGGACACTATGTCAAGCCCTTACGGCCTGTTCTAGCTTCCGGACAGGACAATTAATTCATCTTTCTTGAATTACATTTTACCCTTGTTAATTACTTGCTTAACAAACTTGACAGTTTCTATATAGGCGTATATGTGTTTACTTCTTATTCTACTGTCACATGTATGTAACTTATGTTTGTGTGACTCTAAATATAGGTTCACGCTTGGTTGAATCGAGCTGGCTCATGCGCCTTCTCCACCGTGCACAAATTCGATTCGCTCACTTTTCTTTGTTTCTCCACTTGTTTGTCTGGATCAACGATTGTATGAAATATGTCCATCCGAAATCCATTCCCGTATTCGACTTATTTAACTCAGTTATTCACTAATGCGAGTTAAGTCGATAATTATATACGGCTGGCGATATGTCTATTTCGATAGCAACCAACATACTATCAAATTGGAGTCAGATATTCATGGCCACTAAAGGACTACTCAGTAGTGCAAACAAAGTTCCGTCATATTTATACTGGTTGACTGAGAATAAATGAATTAAGTACTAGAATACTGATATTCATGACTGCATATGTAAGTACTTGAATTGACTTGCTTGAACGGCAGTAAGAAACAATCGAAGTACAGTATGACTGAGTGTACACCAATGGACTGAGAAAATAGTAGTATTTGGATAACATCATGATTAGATCTCTTTTCAATTTGCTTGAATTGTCACTAGGATTTAGAATCAAAAGCAACTGCACTACATTGGAAATAATAAATTGAATTGTAGTAATACATTTGGCAGTTACATCACCAATACGATATAATAAACAAAAATGAGAATAAACTTGTGCACGTGTCTGTATTATACACCATAGGTTCTTTGATACCAACGTTGCAATGATTACTTCTAAACATATTGTTTCACTACACAGTACGTTATTTCCCATTATATAAAAAGGTATTCTGTGGGATCATGTTATGTCCTTTGGAAAGCTCAATGTACTAATGCAACTGCATCTTTTGCTCTTGCTTGATAGACATTGATCAAAATATTGCAAACCGATATCAAATATCTAGTAATATTGTAGTGAAAGAGAGCACTAGTGAGTGCAATCGAATGTTCTTGAACACAAAATTACAGAATCTTCAAGTAAAATCTGAGAACCATACAGTAAATTCTTCATTTGCAAAATGTCCAAGACATTACTATTCCGTCGTTGCCACACCAACCACTCTATATACTCTCTTATTTGATCTTCTTAACCTTCTGCCTTCAGACATTTCACTCTCGATTGGTTGTGCACACTACTTATATCTGTCGACAACAGTAGCACACACCACAATATGACGTCTATCTCGAAGATTAGAGTGGATACACCACTTTTAAACGAGGTTACGCATTTCCCATCCAGTGAAGGCGTTATTAAACTGTCAGTCATCCTAGGCAGTAACAATCTGAGTGGTAAACAGATTAGCGTTACATATTACGACGCAGATGTAGTGTAATATGAATTATCAGTATAACAAATTATCCAGATAACGTTAACATTAAGTAACATGAATTTCACTGTCTCCGAATAGTTTTACTATACACTATAGGCTTTTCGCATATGGCATCACATAAATATCATAATAATCCATGCGCGTTATTAATGCCGGTCTACCTTCCCACATTGTTGGTAATATGAAAATCAGTAATTAGGGATTATTGAACATTGTTAATGGAAAACGTACACTCGATCACACATAATCGTCAAATATGTTCAAATGATTCAGCTTCCTAGATGGTCGTCTGAGTATCTGCATAGCTAAGGTAAAAACATATTTTATTAGTAAAAACAATTAGCTGTACAAGTATGTTGTACTGGAGTCGGTAACTGAATAGCATTCTTACTAGGATAGGTCACAGGGAAACAAACTGATTACTTTATATGTGGACGTCATTATTATTAGCTTAATTCAATATTATATTTTTAGTTTAACAGAATTCTCAGCGCAAAGTATTTCAAAAAGTGTTCACCAGTCAGATGTTAACGGTCCAGTAAACATCTGAATGATGTGCATTCTTCTCGATGGATATTGCCAGAAACTACGATGTGCCTGATTGGGCTTTTTTGTAACTTTTACAGTGTAAATTCGTAAGATTTTCACAAACGCACCTGAATAGGTTATGTGATTAACAGACATGATCTGTTAAAAAAACTGATGACTTTTTGAAATATCTTGATGCCAGAAACAGGTAGCAGATATCCAAGCAGGCCACCGTCATGAGTACATGTCATCCGCAGTTTTTAGAATTATGATTTTCTTTAGCTGAAAGACAGACCCAAAGCATACGATACACATGGCTATATATCGTTCGGCGTTTTCTGGAATATACAGGTCTCCTAAAGGCACACATATTACCAAGTTAAGCTAGCCTACAAACACGCCACCAGCGTAAGGCACTTCAAGTATGGGATGACCGCCTCGAGGTCGTTGAACCGAAGGGGTAATTTCGATTTCAAGCCAGCTTTTTTCCTATTTGTAAACATATTTTGGTAAAATAAGTATTTAGAGCACAATGTGTCTTCGATATACAAAGATGAACTACAAATACAGATTCTAAGTAAATTTTAAATTTAAGTGGATTTTTGGCAGAACTGTTATAAAAGCTAATTAAGTTCAGAATAATAAAATAACATACTTCTCTATAATTTATTGTTCAGATGAAGTTCTAATATAAATAAAGATAACTAATTCATTTTACACTCAAATCACTTATACACTTTATTGCGTTATTCCAGTACACAATGTGCGTTATGGGAACATCTCCTTAATGTAAAGTTGAGTTGTAAATACTCGAAAAATTTAATAAAAGTAGATCTGATAACTATAATAACCTGTTATTCCCACTCGCTACAAAGCTCATCAGACTGTTCCACTAGCACCGAATTTTCATTGCGTAACATACTAGACATAAGAATATATACTCACATGAATCGCTTTTCATCAAGTTATAAACAAGCTGAAGCATATACTTACTACTGCAGTGCTTTCGGTTAGCTTTCACCATATTTAAAATCTTAGTACGTGCATGGACCGAATCACGACATTAAGGATCATCGTTGGACAATCAGTGGGATTGAATTCGTTAGTATACATTAACTTCTTTGATTATGAGAATGCACTGACAATGTTAATTTAATCAAAATAAGTATGAGGTTACTTTATGCACAATTAAAGTGAACTAAATGACAGGTGAGGTTAAAACCACGAGAAACAGAATAGATTCCGTTTATTTCTCTCAGAATTATGAACGAGGAAAGCCGATTGAGACCTATCGAAGCTGGGACTTAAATATATGCCAAGACAATCTTTGTTTGCAAAAATAATTTTATATGATAGATGTATGGATCAAATGCTAAATTACGGATAGAAAATATAAAAAATAAATTACAAACCTATACAGCCAAAGAGCATCTATCCTTAAAAATACAGAAATTCCAAGTGGCATAATGTCCAAAAATTTAAATACTAAGCACCAAATTGTCACACATCCTATATCACGTAGTAATTAAGCGAGTTCATCGAAGGATTTGAGCACATTTTCAAACTTATGGAGACTTGGACTGCTTTGCATAATTTTAAGAGGCATTACACAGTGATAGAGAAATATGGAATTAATCATAAGTCAATTTTTTGGGCAAAATAAAAGTACTGAGAAAATTCAGGAATCAATGATATTACATAATCGTCACGTCAGATAAAACTGTCAAGAATTGACACTGTCTGATGGAAACTAATACTAAATCGGGTAGGCAAAACTATTGGTGAATAAAGAATTAATAAAACGCTTAAGTGAATAGGCATGCTTAATATCTAACTTCAATCGATTCATGATTTTGCGCAACCCTTCATTCATTGTCTGAGGTGGATAACTATCTCCATCTGACACAGATGGAACTCCACTAGTCACGGCTTCCCACTAGAACTGGACATTAGCACCGTTGGACGCCGGCTCAGTGGTCTAGACGTTAAGCATTCGCACGCGAGACCGAAAGCCCTAGATTCGAGTTCCGCGTGCGGGATCGTTGATGCGCACTGCTCAGGAGTCTCATACTAGGACGAAACGGCCGTCTAGTACTTTCAGGTTTTCAATGTTTGCCTAGCTTAGATTGACTCAAAAATCCAAATATTTAAAGTACTACAATGTCCACAAATCCTCATTCTGATAAAGAATAATTCACGAAAAATCTATCATCTAGCCATCGGTGGTTAAAAGTAAAAACATTCAAATGATTTGTTTAGATACTATCAAATAACCTAGGCGAGCAAGACAGAATTAAATGGATATTATTGTAGAATAATCTGCAAGATTCATTCAGCTGCGGAAAATCAAAATGGTGATCCTTAACAAAGTAATTCTGTTCAAGTTTGATATATGGGCTATAATTTAGTATCATACTTTGCAATGCTAACCGACAGACAAACAAAAACGAACGGGCACCTGCATAAAAAGTTACCAGTATAACGGAGTCTCACAAGAAAGAATAGGTAATGTCAAAATAAAAAATGACATTATGTTCATAAGCTAGATGTCATAGAAGAGAATCGTTAGCTTAAATGCAACCAATTTCGAAGAAATCAGTATTTTCACATAGGCATTTATAAAAATTCCTTGGAACTACAATACGTAAAAACCAAAACTATAACCTACGTGAGAATTAACTCCTCATAACTATGTCAAGAATTTGATTATGATCAAGAATCACGGAACCGCTTAAATTCCTGTTGTTACGCCTTTCCGAAACAAAAGTTATGACATGTATATGAACATAGAAGTAAAATTATAAGAATGTTTGAGACTAAAATTTTTTTATAAGTAAATTAACAGTGTAAATATATGTCGACAAACAAGTCAAGAGATCGTGCTGTTCCGTTTGGCAATGAATGCTTATACCAATGTAATCAGTGAAATACATAAGATACAATAAGCTTTTTAGGTGTAAGTGCTTTCTATTGAGGAGTGGGCTCTAATTCCATGCGTTGAAACCCATAATTTTCTGTAACTGTGAGTCTACTGATGCCTAGTAAAGATAAAGAAAACTTATTCCCAGCAAAAGAAACCATACCATTTGAGAAAGAGCATCGCTTAATTGTTTTTCGGCTTTTGTGGTATCCTAAAATGAAATATATTTTACAAAATTCTTAACCCTACGATATCAATCCCCATGTACTGGTCCACACGATTAGATAATATTGTCTTTCGTTCTTTGATTTCCTCAATTTCCTAATAAGAAGGATTGATAAAGTGAATAGTCAAATAGGACACACTTTCTTCCATGACATCAGAAGGCGCTGATCAGGTGCTTTTTCAACGGATGACAATAACTCCTATCAGTAAAAAAAATGTCCAATTAATAAAGCAACTTACACTTAATTGACGATCTGATTCACTAAGGGATTTCGATAAATTTAAATACTTTTCTTTGATATGCTGCATGGAACGCATATCTGATAGCACGCTTTCTTGGGAGAGACGCCAATCACTAGAAAACCTATGAAGAACAAAATACATTCAGTTTAAAATTACGATTTGTTTTCGAAACACGAAATCAACCTAAAAGTAGTAATTACGAAATTCACAATTTTACATGGGTTACATTTAATTAGAAAACTAAATTCAAGAAGCAAATTATGTGGGTAACCAAAGACTATGGTGAGGATTCGCACAATGCAAGCTGGAGAGAAAGTATTACAATCGGGGAGAGGTGTTGCTGTACTCCGGTCATGAAGAAGAAGCTTCGTACACACAAGGAGTTGCACTGATGCTCTCCAGAGAAGCATGAAAACCACTTATAAGATGGGAATCTCGCGAGTCCAGAATCATCAAAGCAAAATTCAAAACAATGAATATTATCCAGTATTATACACCCACCAATGATAACAACGACGACGATAAAGACTAGTGCTGTGGGAGGGAACAAATCAGCTTCCAGCTGAAGAAGCAATTACGAAAAAACACTCAAGGTGGGTAAGATATGCATTGCGGAAATTCTCAAACTGCACTGACTTGGAATCCTAAAGGTAACAGGCAAAATAGGAAAACCAAAGAACATATTGCATCGGGAATTGGAGACAGGTATAAAAAAATGAAACAGCTGGGGAGAGAGAACAAGACAGAATTGGATGGAGAATCCTGGTCGGAAGCCTATGCTCCTCCACGGGAGAGGATACAGGCGTAATTTCTACGTTATGTTACTTAATTTCCTCCCTTAAACGTGATGTCTATGAAGTCTATATATTGATAGTCATCGGTTAGCAAAACTCACAGTAGCAGTTTAAAAAGATACTAGGAAAAGTTTTGAGATTCATCCCCTAAACATAGCTTAGAGTAGTGAGTTTGTGAAAGAAATTGCAATTTAGGACAACCCAGAGTAAAAAATCAGTCTATGCCAGTCCAAACAGGAAACCTAGAAAATACGTGCTTAACAAGTACTTTTGTTGGGAAAATCCAATCCATAGATTATAATTGAGATCTGAGAACTACGAGCAACAATATTTATTGACCTTTAAGCATCTAAATGAACTGAGGACCTTCTTGTTTAGTTGAATTACAATGATTATTACTTTTTATAAGCGCTTGGATAATCGACAATCTAAATCAACCTAAAGAAATCCTGCTTCCTTTACAGATTTCAACTAAAACAATAATCACGTAAACCAGTATTTCTCGTGACGCATAATAATTAGCCGGAACGAAGTAGCTGATATCCACTGAGCTTTATTGATGTTTAAGGAGAAAGAATGTAGTTGTAAAATCTCAGCGAATGAATTTGAAATCCATCGTTCTGCCTGGCACTCTGCTCCAAGCTTTTTCAAGGCAAGATAATCATACACCAAAATTATCGATTATGAATAAGTACATGGTTCTCTGATTGACTGTTTATTAAACAGTTCATCCAATCCCATCCATAGTAACGTTGGATTTATTTCAAATTCTTCGCGAAATTTTACAAATACATTCTTTCTCCCTGATGTTTAACATGAACTCAGCGTCCAAATACTGTGGAACATAGTGACTTGACATGCGAATTGAATTCAGCATTTAATATCAGTTATTAGCTACTATGACCTCAAAAATCATATAAAAAGGGTTAAATATAGCTCTGAACAAAACAGATATCCAGGATGTCCAATGACAAAAGAGGCTTGAAGGTTTGGAAATAAGGATAATTGAGATTTACTAATCTACTTAACACGAGAATATAATAGAACTTAGTTGTACTAGGTACTTCTTAAAGTAACGGGTTATTTTACGCAAAATAAACTACCTTATTAAATTCCTTTCCATCTCATCGACCTCCATAATAATTGTCCTTAATGAATTGTATGAATTCTCTAAAGAGGTAACCAATGTTTCTAAATTATTCTGATATTCTTTGGATGCAAGAACACGATTTTTGATGCTGGATAATATATAAGAAACAAACAGATACCTGTGGAGAGAACAACTGCGGCAATCGATTGCAGAAAGTTTCAATGCTAATTGGTTTACTTTGTGACGGATGTCATCATTAGGTTTAGAACCCAGTCTAGCGTGGAATCTATCCAACAGAGTTGAAAGGCGAGTTTCTGGAATGGCAGCATATTTATTTCAAGAACTACAAACCTTCAGTAGAAAATTCATTTCTAACTTTCTTTTCCATCAAGTCAATGGCCTCGTGAGAGTTTCTGTGGATCGCTTTGAATTCATCATCAGAAGCATCCAGTACATTTTTAAATTTAGTGAACAACCCCCCATGGTCGTATTTTGGATTCTGAAAAGTGTATGAAATAGTGAGCATGTACCTCGTGATCCGATTCCCGCCGCATTTCCAAAGAACGAATTCAGACCTTTCAAAACAGATGCTGATAGTTCGTAGTCGAAATGGATTCAAAGAAACCTGATGAGAACTCAGTTCGATAACCAAACTAGAGAAAATAGGAAGCAGACTGATTGGAAAACAATGTAAGCGGATAAACATGATAACCTTAAAACAGACTGTAAACAAATTTCGAAAACACTTGTAGGGGACTTTAGTAACCGGAAGCAAATACTCTCGCTGGGCATTATAATTCATGGGGAAACCGAACGTCAAAGTTGACAGCGCAATTAGTGTTCTCACAGAAAGCAACGAGTTTTACAGGAAACTTGGTTTTCGACATGGACGTGGTTGTATAGACCAAATATTCACACTACGTCAGGTTCTAGAACACAGACACACGTTTAGACGCCCCACAATGGTAGTATTTCTCGACCTTAAGGCGGCATTCGACTCTGTTGATCGTGAGGTTCTATGGCAGTGTTTGTCACTGAAAGGAGTACCAAAGAAGTACATTAACCTTATTCAGGCTCTCTACTCGAACACAACTGGTCAAGTGAGAGCTTATGGCGAACTGTCATCAGAATTGATTACATTAAGTGGTGTTCGTCAGGGCTGTCCACTCTCTCCTTTCTTGTTTAACATTGTCATTGACGTGCTTTTAGAGATAGCACTTTCCTCATCTAAATTTCCACTGGTTGAACTTCTACCGGGAGGTTCACTTGATGACTTGGAATATGCCGACGACATAGTGTTATTTGGTGAAGACGCTGACAAAATGCAGAGTCTTCTGACCACTCTAAGCAACAATGCAAGCATGTTCGGGATGCGATTCTCTCCCTCGAAATGCAAAATGTTGCTTCAGGATTGGGTTGCATCGACACCCGAACTAATGATAGAGAGTGAAGTAATTGAGTGTGTCGATCGCTTCACTTATCTTGGAAGTCTCATCAGCCCTTGTGGTCTGGTATGTGACGAAATCTCGGCACGGATACAGAAGGCTCGACTAGCTTTTGCTAACTTGCGTCATTTATGGCGTAGGCAAGATATCCGTCTATCAACCAAAGAACGGGTTTACTGCGCAGCAGTTCGTTCCGTCCTGCTTTATGGAAGTGAAACATGGCCGGTAAGAGTAGAGGATATTCGTAGACTACTGGTATTTGATCATAGGTGTCGTCGAAATATTGCTCGTATATCCTGGGACCATCAAGTAAGTAATGCAGTTGTTAGGAAACGGGTACTAGGTAAGGATGGCAAATTAATTGATGAAGTGGTGAAACTTCATCAGTTGAGATGGCTGGGACACGTGTTACGTATGCCCAACGACCGACTGCCTCGACGTGCGATGTTCAGTGGTATAGGAGTAGGTTGGAAGAAAGCTAGGGGCGGCCAAACCAAAACATGGCACAAGTCCATGAAGTCACTGACAAGTGGACTGAGTCATGTCGGTAGGTGTAGACAATCTGGTTGGGGACCGCGAAATGAATGCAACCGATGGTTAGAGCCCCTGAATGACATGGCTCAAAATCGTTTGCAATGGCCCAGGTGCATCCACTATTTGTGTTCTCCCAAATTTTGATCTCCTGATTCCCCCTTGTCTCTCTTTTTTCTCTTCCCAAGTTTATTTTACTGTATTATACTCTTTAAGTAACATCTCCAAACACTAATCTTTCCGATTACTGCTTATACTCTTATTACCTCTACCACTACGGGATTTGAATCGATCACAGCATCTCTGTGCTAATGTGGTGTGGCAAATCGAACTGATGTACGTACGTACGAAGATCTACGTTGTTACTGACTGATAGTATATAATCGCATATTCTTATGGACGGTGGAGAATATCATACCCAGATTCCTATCAAAATGAAAACGCCTCACGTAATTGAGTAAGTAAAGTGATTGAGGAACTTTTGCCACTATCAACTAAAAAGTGGAAACAATTTGCTTTAAAATAGTTGAATTAATAAAAATATCTACCATGCAAGCAATAAGCGAATTTAAAATAGTCCTTAAGCTAAACTGCAGAACATATGTGCTCCTAAGGCAGATTGTTTATTAAAGTACTTGATTTGATTCAATGAGTAATCAAGTATTCACTGAAGATAGATAACATTCTCCCCTTCTAAACTATACTGTACACCAACCAAAGTTTGATAAAGTTGTAAACAGGATAAAGGAAAACGACTACACTAGAGATGACGTCAGTTCGCGATGATAAACCTTGACTTCGTTTTGCAACAAAATTTCAAAATACCAGCACCTCTGAACACCCAGATCTATGCTTCCTGCATTAGAACTAGTATCATTTTGTGACAAAAACGTCATAGAGTGATAGCCCTGACTCACAATACTAACCCGACTACTAGTAGGTAAACATGATCTTAATTATTTAATAGGTATCGTTGTACAACAGATAATTAGACATATAGGTTCATGGTTAAAAAACGCTTACTATTCCGTTGCAGCTTTATTGTTTTATAATGGTGATTGTTTTACACCTAGGCTGACAAATCACCTGAGGCTTACTGTGTATGCCTTTACCAAATTTTCGGACGACCTTAAATCGACGCCACATTGACCCTGAGAATGTCCACCCACTCGTTAGGAAGAAATGTTGGTTATAAGGGAGTGTGGGGAATTATAATTTCGTTTTACAGTTGACTGATAGGGTTACGACTTAGATTTAGGTTTGTGTAGTAAAGGCAAAAAGGCCTAGGGCCTATATTACTCCATTTCTAGCATGCTTCTGTGAGTGTTCAGTCTTCTCTTGAAAGAGTCAATTGGTGTTGCGAACACCACTGCTTCGGGCAGCAGGTTCCAAGTATTGATGACTCGGTGTGAAAACCTGTATGCCGCGGGTATTTTGTTCGTTCTTGAATTTTCTGCTAGCCTGCTATGTCCTCTGAGGTGTCCCGATCTAGTGGGAAGAAAAATAGAGAATAAGTTAGGTCCGAAATCATTTCTCAGTTTTCTGTACATCAAAATTAGATCTCCCCTTGGTTTTCATCACGAACTGAAATCAGCCAAGGTGCCAAAAAGCCAATAATGCAAATGGATAAATGAGTTTTGCGCCCAAATCCAAGATCTGTTAGCTTATATCTTATTGGTTTGTCCACAAATTATAGTCTCATCGAATTTGATGAGGAACTATAAGTGACCTACAAGTGACGTAGTAAACTGAGGAGTATTCTTGAAATAATATAACAAGTTGAGTATGTTGAAAATTCAAAACTGTCTTGGGCAAAGATCGACAAGCTCATAAGACAAGACCCTACATTGGCTACTTTGAGACACAGTTCATGATGGGCGGGTAAGTGCACAAGGCCCAAACAGCGAATAAGACAAACAATAATACTTTACGTCGTGACCGAATCTATCCTAATGCAAAAACACTTTAAAAATGAATATCTGCGACTTTGAAAGGAATCTTCTTCAAAGACAATATTCCGTTAAAAACCTTCCTTCAGAGCTTCAGTCAATGTTTATGGATTATGTGGGAAAATTTTCCAAGAATAGATCTGAGAAAACGTTGACAAAATTATTGAAAACTTTGGAAAACCAAAAGCCAGAAAAGGAGTTTCCTTTCGACCCAAAACGGTACGTACATAATTATTCCAATATTGAACTAGATGTAATACAGCTAGAAGCTTTATCTCTTGGACCTAAATTCTGTGATAGTAGGCATAGAATCAACCAATTAGATACTGATGTACAGTTTGAGAATTTATTTTCACAAACAACTGAATTGATTTCTACCTCATTAGAGGACCTTGCTCGGTTTAAAACCACACTAGTTGATAGCTGCCAACAATACAAGAATAGTAAGGGTACCACAAATCACCTACTAACCAAGCAGCACCGAGACTCTTTAATGAAACTAAGAAAAGATGAAACCCTGACCATAACCAAACCAGATAAAGGAGGAGGTATAGTTCTCATGAACAAAAATGATTACATGGGAAAAATGGAAACAATGCTTAGCGATTCTAGCAAATTTCAGAAAATTACTAGTAATTGTGACATCAATAAAAAAGTAGGACAATTGACCAATTTCCTTAAAGATCTAAAGAAAAAATGAATAATTACGACCGAAATTCACGATTTAATTAAGCCGACGGGATCATTTACACCACGACTGCATGGTTTGCCTAAAGTACATAAATCGCGTCTTCCCCTACGCACAGTTCTAGATATGTACAATTCTCCTTACCACAAAATCGCAAATTGGCTAGTACGAATCTTAGAACCTTTACACAAATCAGTGGTTAGAAATAGTGTAAAAGATGTTTTCAACTTCACCTCCAAATTAGAAAATATTAATGTTAGAATGAAAAATATTATCTCATTGGATGTAGGATCTTTGTTCACCAAAGTACCACTTATGGAGACTATTGAGTTTATATGCAAGCAAATATCTGAAAAACAAATCAACATTGGCTTGCCTAACGATAATCTAAAGGGACTGCTCCTAAGATGCACTCTGAATGTACATTTTGTCTTCAACAATACTTACTATAGACAGATAGACGGGATAGCCATGGGCTCACCTCTATGCCCGATTTTAGCTGATCTCTTCCTAGCAAAGCTAGAAAATGGACCTCTCAATGAGACTATTAAGAAACTTGATTTTTATTGCCGATACATTGACGACACCTTCATCATCGTAGATCAAAACACTAGTAAAGAGGAACTCCTAGACCAATTCAACAGTGTTCACCCAGCGATCACTTTCACTGGTGAAAGTGAGCATGATAAGAAGCTGAACTTCCTTGACGTCACACTAAGCAGACGAAGTGACGACACATTAAGTAGAAGCGTGTATAGAAGAAACCCCTCTTCATGCCAATATACTCACTTCTGCAGTTTCACACCCATCCGTTACAAGAGAAATTTGGTCAGATGTCTCACTAGCAGAGCAAAAAAGATCTGTACAGTAGACACTCTAAGTCAGGAGCTTGAATTTATCAACAACTCACTGACCGAGATCGGCTACCCCAGCGCGTTCATTAGGAAGTACATGCATGATATAATAAAGAAGTCGAAGATTTCGACTGTTCGTAAGAAACCTTTATACATGAAAGTGCAATTCAACGGGGATGTGGCTAGTGACACTCTGAAATATAGGTTAACCAAAGTAATCACCAGGACATTCTACGCAGCCAATCTTGCTTTGACCTTCTCTTGTCGACCAGCGATGTCTACTCAAACGAAGGATAAGTTACCTGAGTTGGCCTCTTCCATGTGCATTTACAAATTAAGCTGCTCCTGTGGAGATAGCTATATAGGGTGTACTACCAGGCAACTTAACCAACGAATGAGTGAACATCTACCAACTTGGTACATAAAGGGCCAGAGAAAATCTATTCGCAGTTCTATATTGGCACATCTTATTGATAGCGGTCATGCAGTAGATAAATCGAAATCATTTCGAGTTATCTGTCGTGTACTTCCATCATTTCCCAACGGAGTCCTTTCCCGTTTCCTATATATAGCTGAAGCCAATGGAATTCGTACATATAACCCCAATTTATGTGTACAGAATAAATACGTGTCCCCTCTATCCCTTCCATGGTCAGTTATAACTTAACTAACAATTCTTCTTTATTTATTTTATTTTGTTATTATCATTATTTATTTTATTGTATTTGTGTTATCATTAACCTTATTTCCACATCCATTATTTGTTTGTAATTTTCCGCCTCTTTGTATTCTTCACTATCTAATTATTTACACACATCTTATTACGTAATGAATTTAATGTTTTGTAATTACTGTTCCTAGTCTATTTACCCATGTTTATTTGACCTTCTATTTCCAACAATTAACTATTGATAAGAGTTTTGTTACTGTATTTTATTATTCTCACTATTATCAGTTCACCTGTCTTCCAACTATCAACTTGTACTTTTACCTATGTGTAGTGACTTATTCTATTTCATTGTGATTATTGACTCATATTGCCTTGATTGGTTTAAAAAATTTTCGTATAAATATTCATGTATATTAGAGTAAAGCCTGATGACGATCTAATTGAAAACAATTGTATGTGTTGTTCTAATAATACTCATTTCAAGTCAGAGGAATAAAAAACTGTGATAGAGGGAATGAAAGAAAGCACTTTCAAGTCCTTGTTTGGTATTATTGAGTTATGGATACTTCTGGACAGAGGTTAAGATAAATAAAACAAAAAAGGAAACTCATAACCCAATCAATCAACAACGGGGAAATAAGGGGAAATGCGCCAAAATATCTGCTTTTTCGATTGTGCGAGGGAAATAGTGCGTATTTTCTCTTTCTTGCCGTCCTGTCGCTCAAATGTTTCTGAATTGTTTACTTTTGCTCCAACCTTTAAACCACCATTGGCATAACCCCAAGGGTCTCCTATGTTTGCCTTTATTCCCACAACAAACCACACTAAAACTGCAATCCACGGGAAAAATGGTATATGTTTAAATAAATTTATTGAAAAGGAAAAGCGCATTATTGTACAACATTATAGAAGAAGCTTGATCACCAGTCGTTATGCATTTTCATAGTAATTGCTAATTCTTTGTTATTTGGAAAGATGTGCGAAAGAATAAGGGCATGTGCATCTAATCACAAGTTTACTGACAATCAAACACACCTTCTCAACACTTAAGTAGTTTCCCATAAAAGTAAGAAAGTAAGCTCATTTACAAAATAATGTTTACTAAAAATATGTAGAACATAAAAGTTATTTCGTGGATTACTTCCTTTAGCCACGCATGTTCGGCTATTGAGAATGAAAACAATCTTCCTGTGAATTCTGAAGTGAAAAGAACGAAAGAATTCACAACGATATCTGAATGACATGCTTTGGCACAGCCAGATAATTGAAGCTTCACTTACGGTTGTTTATATTAATAGACAACGGGTAAGACTGTTCAAACTGTCCAGAGGGACCTCGATTTCCAATATCTAGAGGACCATTAACAAATTTTAGGATCGATGTAATCACATTAAATCCTAGCTGAATTATTCATCAGACTGACAGTTGGTTGCCAAACAGTATATCGATCCTCGCCAAGGTCAAGGACAACCGTGAGAATCAGTATAGACCACCTACGTTGATGATCAACAAGATAAACGCCTCTCTATATTCCTATCTAGTGGGATGGACCTTTGGCTAGCTTATGGTTTCCCTATGGCTTTTTACTGACTATAACTTCATACGATACACGAAGGAACAAGTAATAATGCCAATAGATGTGCTCATCATTTGACCTCAAACGTTCTGAGGTCATCACTGCCATTCTGTGTATAAAATGAGCCTTGCTTTAGAGAAAATCAGGGCCGTGAGAGCTAATATTATGTGAGTCTGTCCATTAATCTTTTTAGTTACTTTCTGTGAATGTTCTGATACTGAAAATATATTTTTCGACCAACTGAATATAAAGGCATGCACGGGGATAAGCAGTGGAATCCATTTATAGTCACCCTCCTACCAGCTGATTAGCAGCAAAAAGAAAGACTTGAGAACTTTGGTATAACTAAAGTGTACCACATCGATAATTATTCCTGTAGTCGAAAATGCAGACCAAACCGGCATTCACATTAACCTGACTCGTACATGCATCGCATTAAATCTTTATGCCATTTGAATTCAACAATTATTTATACCGCCTTTACAATTTCCCAATGAACCCATCGTAGTCTTTATTGAAATGCGTTATTTGGTTTATGAATTGAACTATTATATTGGGCCTATAAAAGCATCTTAAATAGTTGCGATTATAAAGTTATAGAATTATGGTCTAGTTTGGCTTTAGTACTGCAATAATAACAGACCTAATCCTAAAATTGTAGATCTTTAATGATGTGAACACCTAATCTACGAGATCTTACGTGGAAGTCCCATCATTGTCCACACTAACTCATCGCGTTCTAAAAATCGGAAATATAACGTTTGCACGTTCAGAATGAAGAGAGAATAATATACTTGATGTGAATAAAGACACGTTATACAGAATGACCACGTCTACAAGGCTCAGGCATGCTATCCGATCAACTGAGTTGAATCTCTCCCGTACCAAAGCTGAACTTCTCTTTGTGTTAATTGTTGAATATAAATCTTTTCGGCAATAATATGCTCAACTTCAAGGTTCGTGTGGTTAGAAACCGACGCCAACACAAGGTCACCGAAATATGATGTCACCTTACTGCGCTGGAATAACAAATTAACTGACACATTTGTTAGTCAAGTAACCGTCTAACACAAGATCTTTGGAGTCTAATGCTGAAATAAATACTAAGTGGGCAAGTATTTCTGGACCGTAATTTGCAATATA